TTGTTTGTTTGCTCGAAATTGTCGTCTGTCAAAATCATACACACCAAAACATTACAGCCTTCAATAGACGTTACATATACTTACCGACAACACATATTCCAGCTTCATGTCTGGCGTCGGTCAAATCCGTAACATATTCCCAGATATCCTCGGTATCTCTGTAAATATCAACACTCGGCAAACTTCGACAATCATCGGCAAAATAACTCGTTTTCACCATTCCGCCGAACAAATATAGCTTGCCCTGTACGTCCGCTAAACTGGCATGGCATCGTGCATAACGCATCGGGTTTTTTTGCATCCACCTAAAATTTCAGAGGGAAATAAATAAGTATGCTGCAGGTTCTCGAAAATTTGATGTGACGAACACGAAACATTCAGCGAAATAAATGTGGCTAATCATATAGCGCCACCAAGTGGTCATAGACAACCTACCTATCGTTTTGTGGATGATAACATTCTACGTTGGCAAGAACCGGCGATTTGACGTCCTCACAATATCCACCAACAGCATAGAGTAATCCATGATGCACTGCCAAGGCAATTGCATAACGCGGTGAACTCAAGGAACACACATGACTCCATTTATCTGTCGCTGGATTGTATTTCTCAACGGACGATAATACGCTGCAAAACAAACAGAACTATGTGTTAAAGCGGGGGAGTCGTCGCCTGCGCATGTGCCAGATAGCTACAGCGTGTCATTGTTTACAAACAAGCATCTGCCCATGAGCCTTTGCGTTTTAGCGTGCATTGTGTGACGACCCTCCCGCTTTAACACTGATATTCTAGACACATGGTAAGAGAAAACCAACTATCACTTCGCTGTTCTGTCCTTTCTGACACTAACGAATATTTTTTTCATATAAATATTTTTGACCAATATCATGTTACACTAAGATACCGAAAACACGAACAAAACATGCGCGTACAGGAACTAGTTTATTGGGTTGTAAATATTTAGCCGAAAACCGATTTGATATGGTCCTACCTCCCTTTACTTCCTTGGCCACCGACAACATATATGTCACCATCCAGTACAGCTGCTTGGAAGAACACCCTGGCTGTTAACATGGGTGCCATGCTACTCCACTCATTTTTACCCATGTCGTATTTACATGCGGTATTTACCGGTGACATGAACTCGCCGCCATCAGCGTAGGGATTGGATCCACCTGTAAACAAATCGTGTTTAAGTTGAGTCAGACAATATGGCGAAAAGACGCGCATTTAGATTTAAGGGTAATGGTGTTCATGAAATGTGGGAATAAAAGACGCTACGAAAAAGGTTGATCAACATCGATCCCGGAATGATCTAAAATATCGACCAGAGATCTAAAAATTGTGTTCCCGTGGCGCTCATCGACACCGTGATGACACGATTGTCTGAAGAAGCACTCCGAGATCACTAACTGAGTAACAATTTCTCAACATATATAGAAAGTGGCGGTATGTTATCGTAGTCTTTGTTAATTATTCAATATAATCAGACGTTTCGGGTAAATCCTATAAAGGAAGGCAAATGCTGTTACAGCGAATGTATTGTTAAAAAGGAAGTACATGAAAAATATGGTAAATAAACCAGTGGAGAACAAACCAACAATTATGTGACACCTTCGGATGGAAGAGTCAAGTTGCTGTCAAACAGAGACATGGTAAACAAAATGTCTACTGTCGTGGCCAGTGTTGCCATAGCAATGCAAAGAGAGAATATTGTTTAGTTCTGGAGTGAGTGCTTGAAAAATCATATAATTCAAGTCACGTATATGAGGTAATAATTGACAAAATTATAACATGATGCTTGAAACCTACCGATGACGTATAGAAATCTGCCAACTACTTGGACCACGTGGTGGTTGCGTGGGTGTTTCATCGTTGTCATTAATGTCCATTCGCATCTAACTGGGTCATATACGTTGACTGTTCGTCCAGGGTCATCTAGGTCGCCATCTTTGTAAACGCCACCAACGGAGAGTAAAAGATGCTTGTCGTCCAACTTTTCTGTATGGCTGCTAGGAATGGCGTGTTCCGAGTTAGTGTTTTGTTCTTCTAACATTTTCTCTTCCAAGCGTGCTAGATGAGAAGCGATGACTGCTGGTGATGGGGTTTTAGCGCCAATGGCAATGCTAGCTCGTCTGGCATTTTGGACCTGTGAATAAAAATGAAACATATCAGACCATTCTCATTCAATTACCATGGCCGTTTACTCATTTGTTGTGGGATGGTGAGTTTTTATATAGATACAACATCTACAGACCCGCTAGAAAGTATTTACGCAATAAATGATTAACAATTCCAGGTAACATTACGTGTTGTCTTCAAAATAGACTTAATTTAAGATGACCTAGTGCACTTCAGTCAAAATAAATTGATTGATTTGTGTGGGATAGTCACATCCTTTCTCGTGTAAATTTGAACCAATCACAACGATATTAGTAAATTTTCATATTGTGTATAGCATTCCTTGCTCTGCAGCATTGACAGTGATCACGAGTGACGTAATTATAAAATGAAATATGTATGAATCAATTCAGAGCGCTGTGATGATTATTTTAGTAATACCCGGTGTTAGCGTGAGTTGATGATGTTAGTACATGTATATACACTGTTATCAGATTGCAGTTTGAGTCAGTCACGGTGTTGACCACGGTGAACTTATTGTAATTGATAAACCCAGTAATTCTACTCCATGCGTAGAGCTATTTGAAACATAAAGGTCTTGAGTAAGCGAACAATTATAAGTTTATTTTCCAATAACAAGTTCATAGATCATTTAGGATGACAACCTCAGATGTGACATCAAGCACTATAAATAACGTTAACGGAAGTGTATGTGAAAACAAGGTTGGAGTAAAGGAGAGAGTTTGCGGTGTATAGTTAATTTCAATGAACAAGCCTTATCCCAGCGAAATATCCCCAGTATTGACAAACGGAGAACCATCCCACCCGAGTGATTTAGATGACAACATAAGAATATATTTATTTGTCACAGCATTCCCAGACAACTAGACAAGGCAAACCCAAATTGTACAACTTCGATGAAGGAGTATATGTATCCAACTATTTATCCAATGAATACGTCTTTAATAATTCACCATATGCGCCACTGGCCATATGGTGGCGCTGTAAGATAAAATGAGATCACGATAAATAAATAATTACCTTATTCATACCCTTTCTTGGTTTGACTGGTGTAGGTCTTGTACCACCTTTACTTGCACGAAGCGAGAAATAACGAAAAGCTTCAAGTACCAAGATGTAACACTCAGGAATGTTCATGAGATGTTTTGCGGATTCAACGTTCTGAACTATTTCTTCGGGTGACATCAAACCAAAACGTATGTGTTTCAGTATCAGTGGTGCATCGCGTGTAATATCTCCGTGTTGGTTCTCCGTCCAACGCAATACTGCTTGAAACAACTGTAGCTCATGTTCTACATTCACATCGTCGTCGCTTAGCAACGTAGACAAACGATCCGCTGGGTAATGTAGAAACTCTTCCGTATTGCTGATGTCAAAAAAGTTTTCCATGATGAAGTCATGGATTTCGTGATAGATATCATTCAGCCCCGCTCTGTCCGCGATGTAGTGGGCGGTCAGACAGTTATCTAAGTTATAGTTTCTTAAAAAGTCTGTGCACAATCGGATGAGCCTCTTCATTAACAAGACACTAGCGGTAGTGAATATATCATAAATGTCCTCAAACGTGATCTGAATTTCCGATGTGTAGATATAGGACAGGACTTTCTCAAACGCGTTTGCTGTAACATTTGTATTAAGAACCACTTCGCTCTGGTTCAGCTCCTTGAAACTGGCGTCCGAAAACACTCGTTCAAAATATTCGCTATGGACTGCTAGGATTATTTTATGAGCCGCAAATTTCCCGTTGCCGACGCAGATGGTGACATCGTGTAATTTGCTGTTTAAGTAGAATTTGTACAGCTGATCTAATGCAAACCACGCATGTTCGTATTTTTTTGTCACGGAGGTCGACGAATGTTTGCTACTCGCTCTTCTTGTCTCACTCGTCATGTTGCTGGCTTTGCTTTCCACAGATACTGGCCACGATGTGGTTGTTATGGATACTGGATAGGCTGTTATTATTGTGGGTTCTGGTTTTACCCAAGAAAAATCGTCGAATAATTGTTTCTTGTTGGTTGTATTTTTTAATTTGTTGGTTTTTAGCTGCAATAGGTCGCCGGCTGCGGCAGTTGGTGGGACTGGATGGCCAGTGGGATCTTTGTCGGTGGGTTTTGCCCGTGGAGTTAAGTCACCGGCTCCTATGACCAATAACTTATAGAAATCTTTCTCTGGAATATTTTCTTGTTTCCCAATAATGTCCTGTGTGTCGATTTCAACGTTGTTATCACTCTCGATAACTGAATCAAGATCAAGATTGCTTCCAGCTGTCTGAACGTCAAGAGAAGACGATGAGGATTCAGAGACGTCTTTGCTTTCAAGCTCTAACTGGAATTCTGTATCAGAGTGATAAATGTTATCGGTGTCTTCGTCGAGAAATATTATCGTTTCCTGAGAAAGGTTTTCGCCGAAAAACTCGTCAGAAACGTCCGAGGATGCGTCTGAATCAATATGTGTTAAAAAGTAGCTGTCACTTTCTTTGCTCTCTTCTTCTTTCGATAGTAAGATGTCTAAAATTTCTTTTTCTGATAGTAGATCATCCTCTTCAAGTAACGATTCCGGAGTCGACTGTTCTTCGGGAAAAATTACACTTTTGAAACTTTTGTTTTGATCTTGTGCAGGTTCAGCAACGGTCAGTCCAGTAGATGATGTAAGCGGCGATGTGGACGGCGACTCGGCGCTTGCGTAGCCACTGGCGCTATCAGAATCGTCTGATGCCGAATAGAACTCTTCCAAGTCTTCTAAAGAATCCCTCTTGAAAACCGAGTTTTCGTCGTTTCTAGATTCTCTCTGCGACGTTAACTCTGATGATGAGTGGTGACTATTGAATGACATCTGGGTACAAAAACGCGGCAACGTCTGATTGATGCATGGATGATGTTGATGCAGACAGATCCGGGTGGTATACTAGGAATGAAGACAAACGAAGACGTCACAACGCGACCGGGTTGTTCCTTTGTTCTAGCGACGCACTGCATGTCGGGATATTCCCGTGCACAGATTTGACGAACTTCGAACATTTCGATACCCATAAATATTATTACTAAGTTCACTGGGTTCGGCAAAGTAAAAACGTTTCCAAAAATATTTTTAAAATACTCATAATAAAAAATAACAACACTTTTTCAAATAAAAAAAGAAGTCATATCAAGAGTTTGTAAGATGGGTGGGACATGCGATGAAAATCCCGCGCGAATTGAATAAGTCACGCGAATTGCGAGATGGTCAGAACATCGGAAACGAAACCTACATCACGGTTACTAGTGACTGTGCTTACATTTTCAGAAATCCTAATATAAATTAGTGATTCTATGAGAAACGGTATCTCAAATGCCCCAATCGGATGTCTTATAAACCAAGGAATATATTACACCATGGGTTAAAAAGATAAACAATGCAAGTTCTTTAAATAGACTATACTGCACACAATCAAATACCATGATAAAACCCCAAATCGATTATCATAAATGTTTTATTACTGTCATGGAGCTAAAATGCTAGGTTCAAGGATGGGTTTATGAGCCCGCTCTTCTCACTTGGTTGTTAAAATAGTCGTGAAAAGCGTCCATGAAATATTAACCTGGATCGTGTCTGCAACAATTGACAATTCAATTTAGCGACGTCGTACTGTGTTCTTTTGTTTTTTATGCAATCGCCTCGCTTTGAACTGCGTGTCGCGGGACCTGCGCACTTCAAAATATCTCAAATCAAAAATGGCGGCAATCGGTAAGCAGAGAATCGTTATCAAGAAAGTTTGCCGGCGATAATCACACGATTTCATGAAGCGTTGTCACCTCTTCAGTGTGTCAGGAAGCCTGTATGAAACGTAGATATAGCCGGGAGTTTTGTATGCGATTGTTTTACTTGGCGGAAGTTGTACTTGGACCGTTTGTTTACTGGTCATCTCGGTCCGTTTTGCCCTGCGTTGCACACTCCAGCTGAGGTGTGTTTTTACTGGCGATCAAGACAAAGTTCAACGGCGATATGATTTGACACAGACTTTTAGCGTTTACAGAAATAACAGTAACCACAGCGGAATATTGCTCCCTTGTCATCGTGCTGCTGTCGCCGAATTATTCAAAGTGTTGTCGAGACGTGTCGGTTTGTGTTTTATGTGAAAATACCGATTTCCAACTACCGATCGTTGTCGTCCACCTTACACGTTCTGATTAAAGTAGGTCGCAAGGATGAGCGAAATGAAGCTCGTTTCTGCTGGAGATGATATCAAAATATGGGACACTTCCTCCATGAACATTATAAAACAGTTCAACCCACATTCTAGTGGATTGTCCTGTGTGCGGTGGAGTCATTGTAATAACGTATCCTTTTGTTTTCACGTGTTTGACCGTGAAAACTGTGATCTATCACGCTGGTCACTAAAAATGCTTTGTACTGACATGTTGTGATGCTTTCCTGCTGTGTTTGTTTAACGTAAATTGGACTATTGTGGAACAGTTTCATGTGTGTTCGGGCATAAGCTAAACCATAACACTCAGCCCTGTGTAATTGTATATGTGCACTGAAGAGGGACATATACAATTAAAAAAATGGAGGGGCAAGGTTATGATTAGAGTTATGGGTGGGTGGGGGTCCCAAGGAACACTTATGCTATTTATTGTCTTGATTACAGTCAACTGGCATGGTAGAAGATGTGATTTTAGAAGAGTGATCACTCTTTCAAAACATATCCTCATAGAAAATAATTCAATTTCCTATTGAGACTATTTTGATGATATTTTAATTGTTTAGGAGGGCCATCTCCAGCTCAGCAGCCAGCTATTTTCAAAAGACAAAGCCTGTAGTTGACTGTGATAGTAAATACTACACCCATTCTTTTTGAACAATTGAGAACCAAAAATTCACCATTCCTCATATGTGTAGATGCTCTGATAGAAGCCGCATCTCCTTTGTTGCATTGTACCATTTCAATAGAAGCCTCAGCTTTTAATACAGATTTTACAGTATTACTTTGTACATGTATGATTTTGTCTGCCTTCAAAAGCCAACCTGTTTTACCTTGTTGACTTTTGACACATCAGTTGCATTCCATGAAACTACTGTTTGTAATATATGTTGTCAGTTATTAAGTTGAGCCTCTCCATACTACTGGGTAACCAGGGTTACCTAACTGCATACCTGAAAGTGGCTGACCCTGTAAATAACTAGCGAGTGTATCATGGATACACATTGGTTTGCTACATATATCCCAATTGTTATAGGGGTTGACATTTTTCAAAATAGTTATTAGCGCAAAATCTGGATATAGTGACTCAGTCAGACTGAGAGAACAAGACATAAGCTGAATATTTCTTCCGGCCAATAACAAAGATAACATGTTTTAAACTTGAAAGAAATACATGCTGAATTCCAGAAACCATGGCCTGCCTACTCATTATATACAGGTAGTGGTCTGTTTGCTTTAGTCTGATCCAACCATGCACACACTAATGATACCATCAGTCTAACTTGGGTTGCTAGGTTACGTGTCATAGCAACCTGATAACCTTATGTTCAAATTGTATTGTATTTATTGTTCACACTTGAAATATTATTCAAGTGAATTTAATTATTCAATTATGTCTGAGTTATGAGTTCAAAAGGTTAGCATTACAAGCTTCATAAATATTGAACAACAATGAAAATAACTAAATATTTGTCAGTGCGTTTGTACACCGATTTTTGAATAAGTTTGGTGCATAATTTTGTACACAGATTTTGGAGTTTGGTGATTTTGAATTACTTAGTCATCTCATCTCTTAGACTCATCTTCCAAATAATCCTGCTTATTTTAGTGAATGAGTTGATTTACTCAATTCAAATTATTTGTTTTTCCCTCGTAGATTTCTATTTTTCTTAATAACTTCTATCCAGTTTTTAGCAAGTGCAGCCACTGTAGGAGATAAAATAACACTTACGTCTCTCAAGAAATTACCAAATATTGTGTCAGATCACATAGCAGATGGGGTAGGTATTCACCCTTCCAGGGAGTTCCGCATGCGTCATTTAAACGACATTCTGACTAATAGCATGGCAGCAGCTGATCTCGAAACGTCGGCAAGCAACATGTAAATATTCAGTCAGAAAATGTACTTCCAATACTTAATACGTGAGCCAATCGTCATTTATATCATTTGGCAAATCAAAAACTTGTGAAATCTTTAAAGAACATAACATAGCGTGAAGCCCATTGCACAATGTTGGATCAGCAACCATATTCTAACTTTTGATTGTGGAAAGGTGAATTGCAGCTAAATTTGATGAAATATTATAAGAGCCTGCAACTAAGAAATGTTTTTGTATGTCAACTTTTCAGATGAAAACTCGATGCACTAATGAAAAAGTTTGATGCATGAAAATCAAAACTTTGGTAGCAACACCAACACCAACTAGACAGACAGTTTTAAAAGAGCATTTGGATTATGGATTATTCAGAAATGAAGTAATAATTTGAAACGTATAACTTGTTATTTTATAAACTAGTTTGTCAAATTGTTGACATCTGATCAAATTTGTTATATTTTCACTAAATCTAGACCATGTGATAAATATACTAGTTTAGCTGCAGTTACGCAGTTCTAGGTTTTGTTCGCTGTACGTTTTATTTATTGTCTGTATAGTGTTACATACCTGTATTTCAACAATTATGAGATGTGAATTACAGCAAACCACAGAACTTCAGAGCTGCAGCTAAGCCATGTCTGAGATTGAAATCACGTCTTTCGACAGTCTCATTAAAAAAAATTCTTGGACTATCGGTCATGAAGGAATTTTGCGTAATGATCGGAGTACATTATTCTTCTCATTAGTGAATTCTCGTAGACTAGAGGGTAATTTGTTTTATATCCAGTGACCAATGAACAGTTGGATCCAGACTATCAGTTCTATAGCCCGCTTTACAATAATCGATAATATTGTTTTTCGTCATTCTGATTTATTATAGTGTATATATTTCTCCGCAGCATGTGTTTAATGAATTATATTATGAACATGTTACTGTTATAATAGTTGAATTGTGTTTATATATTTTTCTCCCATGTTTGCAGGAGAAACAGACCACCTTAGCTTTTGTCAGTAACTCCAGATACGTAGTGTCAGGTGGGAAAAACAAAGTTGTCAGTATATGGGATGCAAAGACGAAGAAATTAAAGAAAACTTTTAAAGTAAGTCAACTCTCACACGCTCTCGATATAAGTCTTGCAAGTGTGACAGGTGTATATAGAAACTGTTCATTGAATTTGAAATCTATTTGTTCCATATTTAACCTGGAACTGAAATGTGCCTTTAGTCATACTGAAGGAACTCGTACACATTATGAAATCAAATCTAATGCTTAAAAATTTGTGCTTATCAAATAGTGGTAAAATAACCTAGCCACTTTTTTACATAGTCAAATAGTTGCAATAATTTCCACCCTGACCAGGGTAAAGGCAGCACTTCATGCTTTGAAATGTCAACACAGGCTTTTTGAAATGTCACAATTATTCCATTTATCATCCATTATTTCAAGTTATAAAATAGTGATATAGATTTTTACATAACCTACCACCATCTTGTGTATTTTTATGCAATTCACCTCCATATCTTGTTCCATTTGCCATTGTTACATAAAAACAAACTCGATAGCAAAACCATACTTGTCAACTAAAACTTACATCATGCTAACTTTCTTATTAACAGGACCATTCCGATACAGTGACTTGTATAGCAGTCAATTTCAACGATACGTATATAGCATCGGGTGCAACTAATGGAAATATCTTATTAAATAATGTTATAACAGGCCAGTGTTTTAAGTCCATTGACACTGCCCAATGCACATGTAAGTATCAACTGTGTAATAAAATGTTGATGTTATTGGAGTTTGGGGACTATGTTATTGCATGTATAAATTGAAATTTGTACTACAGACCTTACTTTGTAAGGTAAATTATCGTCCAAGTCTTCTATCTTTCACACAACTCAAGACCCAATTATTCAGTTATCGTTCTCCAAAGATTTGCTTCCAACAAATAAAGTTTAATAATGTGTAGTGTGTAATGTTAAGTAGATTATGCTGTATAGCAATATCAAGGGTAGATGATTTCAAGGGTCCACAGTGCCATTTCACTTACTACAATGCTTGATAATGATTGGTTACAGGCAATAAGAGGTCTACAGTATTCTCATTTTAAAAAACACTTGATGGGTTCTGTCTCCGACGATGGTTCTCTACATCTCTGGGATTCCGTTGCTCGAAGACACTTGGCTAGTTTTACAGACACACACCGAGCTCCAGCCACTGATATATGTTTTTCCCCTGTTAATGACATGCTTATTGTGACTGTTGGGCTCGATAAGAGGATAGTGTGTTATGATGCACAAGGAAAATCGTAAGTGTTTCATTCTCTTCTCCAGTAAACAAAATTGGAATGTACAACTGTGATTATTTTTTGAGTGCTACATCTGTCTATAAATTGAAAGAGTGGTGGTTGCTGTGCCACGCAAATGTGACATTTGTGTTGATAAACCAATTTTTTCACAATCCAATGCCAGTGTTCTCCACAATCCAAATTAGCTGGTGGGCGGCCTAATTAGCATAAATTTGCATATGAATTTGCATATCATTTACATACAACATTCTCGCATTTATGACATGAACTACAATACACACTAAGTTATTTACTATTCTCTTTTTAATTTAATTTAATTGGAACATGTTACAATTTTTTGAAATACAAACAGATTGGTCACTATCAATATTTGCGAAATGCAAAAAGTTTGAAATCGGTGATTT